TTCTTCCATCCAGCCACTCTTCTATTCAATTAGCTAACTTATTCCCCACACCTAAAGAGATAATTTTTTACAAACCTTTTATGTGGAGCTTTGTCAAAGGCTTCCTGAATGTCTAGATACACCAACTCTGTACCCTTACCCTCATCTACATAAGTAGTAACCTTTGAAAAGAATGTCAAAGGATTTGTAAGGCAAGATTTTACCTTGGTGGAACCATGTCGACTATCCAATAAAATTTATAAACTTTGTTAAATGAGTTTGCAAAGCATCTTTTATCAGACTTTCCAAAATTGATGTAAGACTAATAGGTCTATTAAAGTTTGTGTGCAAAGTAATTTTCATGTTAAAATTATAAATACTTTTCCTCATCTTAAAAACCTCCTAAATGCATTTCAAACGTTTTTTTTTTCAGTAAAACTTTATGGTTTATCTGTATTTTCTCTCAAAACAGAATTGGTCAATTCGACTGACCTCGTAACCACCAAAAAAATCTAAATAAATCTAAATTACCTTTTTTTCTTTGTAGAAAATCTTCATATTGTAATGCGAAACTACATTCATTTATCCTAAATAGCTCTCAGTTTGTAACAGTATACCACTATTTATAATTAAGTTTATTGTTTTATTGCCCTTTAAACCATGTTTAACTACTCTCCGCGCCATTATAAGTTGTAGTTTAAATTACACTAACGAATTACATTACCCATAAGCTACTACATGCTGCTCACATGTGTGCCTTCTGAAATATTTTTATTATAATATTATTTATTTTATCTAATCTAATCTTAACTAACCTAAAATAATCCCAATTTTTACATTTTAGTTATTTTTATAATTATACATAAAGAATAAACATGAAAAACAAGAAATAAAATACTTAAACAATCTTTTTTCTTGCTGTCGATTGTCAAAGAGAGTTAACCCTAATTCTTTTATACTAATGATGGTAATGCACTTAATAATTCTTATTTTACTAAATAATGCACCAATGAATATAAACTAATAACATGCAAAAAGTAGACAAATTCCCGTACCTTTCAAAATTTTTCTGGCTTTCTAACTATGCGACAAGAGTCATTACAAATTCATCCAAGCTAGTCATTAACTTTCTCATGGGAACGATGTTGGTACTCACAGTGAAATTGACATTTAACTGTTCAGAACATAATGTTATACAATGCATCATATGGTAGATGAAAACCTTGACTTTCTAGTGGTTATAGGTAATATATAATTAACTGCAAGAGAGAACTATTAACGAATTCTGAAAGAGAGGATGTGACAGGTAGGTGTGGTAGGAGGGGTCTGATTTTCTATTCAATAGCTCTGTAACCAAATAAAATTGAAGACTAAAAATTGTTTGTCTGAGCAATGATGATTTATATAGTAATTTACGTTTAATTTTGTACTTTTTTGAGGGGTGATGGATAAAATAGGGAAGATGACAATAAATCTGAAATATCATTGTTTCTAGTAGGTTCCTTGACCAGTTTGTGAAGAAAAACATCTTGAACAGTTTCCAAAACCTGTCTGTCTTATGGTTTACTCTAGCATTTCCCAGTCTATATGCCTGAAAATATAATTACCCATAATTATGACTTCATTAACAGCTGAGATGTTAATCTCATTGTAAAATTTCTCACTAATTTCATTGGTATCATCTGGTGATCTGTAACAAATTTCTACTAAAAGCCTTTTCCCTTTATATCCACTAACAGAAACCATAATGGATTCAAT